TAGTAGTAGTAGTAGTAGTAGTAGTAGTAGTAGTAGTAGTAGTAGTAGTAGTAGTAGTAGTAGTAGTAGTAGTAGTAGTAGTAGTAGTAGTAGTAGAAGTAGTAGTAGTAGTAGTCGTAGTAGTAGTAGTAGTAGTAGTAGTAGTAGTAGTAGTAGTAGTAGTAGTAGTAGTAGTAGTGGTCGCAGTCGTTGTAGTCGTAGTGGTGGTGGTGGTGGTAGTAGTAGTAGTAGTAGTAGTAGTAGTAGTAGTAGTAGTAGCAGTCGTCGTAGTCGTCCCGCACACCTTGGCCACGGCGACCTCGTAGACACTGATGTCGATGATGAGGTCACGCTTGACCTCCCGGAGCTGCTTCACGACCCGCCAGAAGCCGCTCTGCAGCAGCCAGTCGCAGAGCCCCCCTCTTAGATGCAACTCGCAGTGGCACCGATGCCACAACCCCCTCACCCCACCCCACGCCCAACCCCCTGTGCGAGGGTTGGCCGTGGTGAGGGCGGGGGGTCGGGGCATCGGCGCCAGCGCGGTTCATCTCCTCGGACCCGTCTTCTTGGCGCCCGCCGCGTTCCAGCCGCAGAGGACGCGGCCGTCGGGGGTGGCCTCCACCTTGCAGTATCGTTTAACCTATCCCTATCCCCATCCCCGTCCACATCTCGAGCCCCACCGTCTCACCACCGCAGTTGGGGATATGCCCTTCGAGACCCGAAGAGAGCAGCCAACATCCCCATCCAGCAGGGGTAACTCTGCTCTCTTAGGGTTTCGAGGTACATATCCCCGACTGGGATGGTGAGTCGGTGGTGCTCGAGCTGTGGATGGGGATGTTGATGGGGGTCGGTTTAACAATGCTCAGCCTTGGCCAGGCGGAGGGCGTCCGCCACCCCCGCCGCGTCGACCATGGCTGTCGGGGCGGCGGCGCGGAAGCCAGGGCGGCGACGCGGAAGCCAGGGCCGAATGCAGCAACAACGGACGGAGGGGTGCACAAAGCTCACATTGGGGCACGAACCATGCGAGGGGTATGCCACTGTGGTTGGGCCCTCCGTTACTTGGGGCCATCGGTGGAGCTCCCTACGTGGGGACACGGGACGCTCGCGCCCCTCTTTCTTTTGGTGCTTTCTCTTTTTCCTCGTCATCCTCCGCTTCCATCCTTTTCCTCCTCGTCCCCCTCTTGCTTCTCCTCCTCCTCCTCCTCCTCGTCCTCCTCCTCTTCCCTCCTCCTTCTCCTCCTCCTCCTCCTCCTCCTCTTCCTCCTCCTTCTCCTCCTCCTCCTCCTCCTCCTCCTCTCTCTCCCCATATGCATGTTCCATCTCTCTATTTATCCACCACTCTCGCTATATATACACGTTATTGTATACACATATGTAAGATCAAACATTGGCATGTAACAAACATATATATATATATGTATATATATATTCAACTATGTGTATACATGCGTACATGCACATTCATAGCTACTACATGTGTGCGTGCACCGTTCTCGCTTGTTCTATACATGTGTACATGTTTAGTATGTGTCTCGCCTTCTCTCTTTCTGTGCATCAGGCATGGCGCACCATGCATCTATAACGCGGGCAGAGCATATACGAATTGCTGACAATGATATGCGCGTGCTATGCAATGCGTTGGTGTGCACATCACATCGCTATCAGCATCACCTTCCTTACCACCACCAGCATCGCCGTTATCGCTATCGTGATCGTCGTCGTCATCATCATCATCATCATCATCATCATCATCATCATCATCATCATCATCATCATCATCATCGTCGTTTTCGTCGTCGTAACCATCATCATGTACATCATCGTCACCATCATCATCATCTGCAATTAATCACAATTCACAAACAATACAAAGACACAACAAAGACATCCACAGACACGCAAGACATCTACAGACATCCGCAGACATCGATATATACCCACAAATGAGAGAAGTGACCTTCCTTCCGGAAGGTGCGGAAGGTGGAGGGCGAGGGTCAGCTGGAAGGGCTCACCCATCCACGACGGGGAGGCGCCCTTCGCGTCGGCCATGTTCGCGGGCTTGGACCGCCGCGGGCGAAGCGGCCTGATTCGGGCCCTTCACCGCCGACCGGCGTGCTTCTCCAAGCCATTCGTTGCGCGCGCCCTCGCTTTCGGGCCCTCGACTGACCAGGTGAGTTCTGGCCGGGCGTTGCGCGCGAGCTGTTCTGGGCACTGCGCCACTTCGTGGCGGTTCGAGTGGGCGCCCGTCACAGTGGCCCTGACTTTCCGCCCCACGGCGCAAGAGTCTGCCGCCGTCCGATCTGCGGGCCGGGCCCGTGCAATCGGCGTCGTCGCTGAGAATGCGCGGGTCGCGCTGCTCCCCGGTTCCCCCAGCGGCGCCCCGCGGCAGAATCCCAGCGACGCCGTGGATTTCTGCCAATTCGGATCTGGGCCATTCCACGACCATCCTGAGGGTCGCGCTCGACTCGCGTCTCACCCGGAGGGCCCCAGAAATGGGGAGCCGTCGGATTTCGCAGAGGTGCCGGGGGCCATCCTGGAACCGTCCGTCTGGGCCACCGCTTATATTCGAGCAGGGTCTTGCACGGGGGGGGGGGGGGGGCGCCCCGGAGGTTGGGGGGGCGCGATGGAGCCCGCGGCCGCGGGCGTCGGCGCCTCCCCGCGCGTCGGGTTTTTCACCGTCGCCGCGTAGTCTTGCTCGTAGTTCAGCCCTGGCCCTCAGTCGAGGGCCGCGGCCGCTCGCGGGCCCCACAGCGGCCGCTCCGCAGGTGCGCCGCGCTGCCCCTGCCCGGCGGTGGCCGCGCCGGCGCCCGCTGGGCCCCGTCGGGGCGCAAGCGGGCCGATGCCCCGTCGCGGCGCGACTCCTCCGTCGACCCAGGCTGGCGCGAGGAAGATAGCTGGGCGGGGGGATGTGGCGGCGCGGTGAGAGGTCCGTCGGCCGCCCCCAAGGACTATCTCCCCGGCGCCCCAGCGCCGCCCGCCCGCGGCGGGCGTGGCGCAGCTGGCAGTCGGCCAGCTGTTCTTCCTGGAGGCGGCCGCTGAGACAGACCAGTAAGGCCGCGTCTGCGCCCGGCGTGCCAGCCGCTTCTCCGAGCTGCGCCGTTTGTAGGAGTTCAGCTGGACATCGGGGCCGATGCTCGACGCGATGCAGGCGGCCTTCCTTGGGCACCTGGCCATGCGCCCAAGCTATTAATTGCCGCGCGCCTATATGCCTGCGAACGAAAATTGCAGTTTAACTTGTTTCGATTCGGCCGAGGCGCTGCGCGCTCTACTCCCGAGAGCGATATTTTGGCATTGGCGTGGCCAGAAAGTGCCATGCAGCGAAGACGCAGCATGTTGATGGCCCGTGCACCTGCGGCATTTGAATTGCCCTTGCACCGGCATTTTACCCGGCCACTTTCCCATTTTCCCCACTCAGCGAAAAGAAATTCGGCGCGATTGCATTCGGCGGGAGGCGGTCGCATAATTTCGCGCTAGCGAAGTTTTGAACGCCGCGCTCCTTAGCAGGGGCCTCGGCCAATGGTGCCGAACAAAAAAACGAGCTGAATTTGAACAATTGGCTGTAGACGTCTTCGACGCTACAACGGGCCTCGCTCGCGCCCGTCGCGCCCGCCAACACTTCGCGCCGGCGCTGGGCTCTCGGGCAGGGCGCCCCTGCCGAGGGCGTCGAGAGCGCTGGGCGGCTGGGAGAAGCCGGCGCCGCCGACCGCGCGGCCGTCGCTGCCGCGGCGCGCCGTCGCGGCAGCGCCGGGGGTCGCTATTCCGCGGAGGCGTAGCCAGGGCCCAGGGCCGCCCCTGCAGGTCCCGCCGGACACAGCGCATCGTCAACGCGGCCACGGCGGGCGCCCCGGAAAAGACGGGCCTCGCAGACGCGAGCTCGGCGCTGGACCATCGCGAGCGGCGAACTCTCTGCAGGGCCGCGCCGCGGCAGCCTCGGGCGCCGTCGGCAGCCCTGTGGACATCGTCGGCGGACGAGACAAACTTGCTGTCCAACGATCGCGCCATTCTCCCAGGCATCGAGGGCCGTCCGCGGCGCGGCGGCGCCAGCGGCGACCTGCTCGGGCCCTGCGGGCCGCCGGTCGGCATCGAGGCGCGGGGTCGCTGGGCGACCGACGACTCGAAGAGGCTCGCCAAGCGCGCAGCCCTTGCGGCGCGACCCCGCCGCCCACAATTTCGGTCAACTCGCCGAGCACAGGCCGGTCCAGCTCGCGGAGGACGCCTCGCGGGGCAAGCCGCTCAGCCCCGCCGCCCCGGCGGCGCGCGGGGCGGCCGCGACTGCTGCCGGGCCGCCGCCGCAGTCCTCAGCCGCATCTGCGGCGCTCCGCGACGGCGGCCCGGGCGCCGAGGCGCAGCGTCTCCCTTGAATCAGGCGCCCGTGCCCGGCCGATCGCGGACAGGTTGGCGGCCGCAGGTTTCGGGGCCATCGCGATTGATCCCCCCGTTCCCCTGCCGTCGGCCGCCGCCGCGGAGTCGCCGCAAACCGCCCGCGAGATTGGGTTCGGGGCGCGCGTGCGCCGGGGGCGTGGGGGCCGCCGTCCTTATGTCTCGGAGGACCTGTCGCGTCGTCCATGAGTGACTGCGTGGCCTTCTTGCATCCTCGCGCGCGCGAGCTGCCCCTGAACTTCCAGTCGCTCCCAGGGCAACGATGCCTTCGCAGCGCCCTGTGTTTGCCCCCTCGCGCGTGGCAGTTTGGAGGCCCGTGCTTGGGGCCGGGGCGAGTGTCGGCCTGGAGGGCGCTGGCATCTCCACGCCGTTGAAAGCGGCGTTGTTCCGATGCCCATTGTATATATGATCCCGCGCCAGAGAGGCCCGCCCCCGCTGTCTTCGGCGCGTCGCAGTCTGGCGCGCCCAGGAGCCGCGCCTTCAGCTCATGCCCCGAGGCCGCCGAGGGGTGCGCGAGTTTCGCGGCCGAGCGGATCTCGCGTGAGTTTTGGCCAACAGGCGGCCCGCGTCGACAGAGTGGCTCTATGCTTCCAGGCCTGAGTTGGAGTTTCAACGCGGACGTTCCCCCCCCCGCCCCTTCTGGCGGGCCCCGCCAGAGCGGTTTGGAGCGCTGTGATGCATGGAGAATCCAGCGGGCTGAACAATGCCCGCGCCGCCTCTCTGCCAGGCCCAAAACGACATTATGTTCTAGGGACTCGCGCGCAAATAGTGACCTTGGCGAGCTGGTTCCCCCGAGATGTCCTGCAGCTTTTCCATGGATTCTCGGCTGCCGGGGATGAGGAGGACGCGTGAGTCGCTCTGCGCGCGCGTGCGCAGCGGCCAATGTGGCCAGAGCGAGCGGGTGCGCAAAGTGCAGGTTGGCCGCGGCGCTGTCGCGCCCTCGCTTGCGGCCCGCGGCTTTTCGCCCCGCGCCCTCTCTCCCTTGCCGCGATTGTAAACGCATCGTGTTTGGCCCACGGGTGGCGGCCGATCATGCGGCTTGCCCTTGGCGGTTTGATCGGAACGAAAACTTGGCCGCGACCCTGTGGGCTCAGGCTCCCGCCCAAAATTGAACACGGCCCGCTCTCGCTGAATGCGGCCCACACATCGGCCGCGGCAGCGTCTTGCCCTTGCTTGCGGTTTTCCTCCTCGTGCTTGTTCGCCCTCGCGACGAATGTAAAAATGAATCGCCCCATGCCCGCGGGTAGCAGCATATCATGATGAATGCGGTGATTTGGCGATGACGAAAACGATTTTGATAGCGATGAGTATTAAAGGGGAAGAGGGGGAGAGGGCGCGTGAGGCGAGGCCTGCGCGATGGCCCATTGGCCATTTGGGGCGTGGGGGAACACATTATCATCGAGGATTTGTGGCCACGGGGAACTGTCCCATCGGCGCCAGCCTATGGTGACCATGTGGCCCGTGGGGAGGGAGGCCTTGCGGCCGCGGCGGTGCGCTCTGGCCGTCGCGGCGGCGCACATTGCGGGCGCGGGGCTCGCAACCTTGAGGCGATGTTCTTTGCTTCCGCCCCCGTCCTCCATCGCCTTCCCTTTCGAGGCCCACCCGGTTTCTGCGGTGCGCAATGCGCGCAATGAGCGCGCGTCCGCAAACATCATAACCACTATCGCCTTCAGAAGGCCATCATATCAGCCAGCGGTGACTCCAAATAGATAGGATGACAGGAGGCGGTCAGGGGGAGGATGTGAGGAGGACGAATGGAGGACGGGAGCAGGACGGGAGAAGGACAGGAAGAGCAACATTTAAACAAGCGCAAGCGTAAGCGAGCAATAACAAGCAAACAAGAGCCAACGATCAAGCAAGACAGCGAGGACAAGCAAGAGCAAGCAAGCGAGAGCAAACACGCAAGAGAAAACAAGCAATCCCCATTGGAAAAACAAAGGAGAGGGTGCCAATGGAAAAAGGAGGGGCCATTGGAAATAAGAAGGGGTGCCATTGGAAAAAGGTGGATTAACGACCAATTATTTATGGTGGGCTAGGACTCCTAGAGGGCAAGCCTATTTGGATAATAGCCAGCACCACACCATCATGACCATCACCAACAACAGCGCAGTGTTTAAGACTGTCCGCTCTGCATTGTTCTCGTGCGGTTCTACATTTGCACCCCGCACCCTCGATGCCCGCCGTCTCTGATTTCGACCTTGCCTTTGTCCATCTCCCTTGTTTGCCACGCGCAGTTGGCGCAGCCCGTAAAATGGGAGGAGGGGGCAAAGGAGGAACAAACAAAAGGGAGAGAGCGAGGAGAGGACTGGAATGGAACGATAATGGAGGGGGGGCAAAGTAGAGTCAGCAGGAAGGGGCGGAGAGGGGAACAATAGTTTTGGCTAGCGGATCCTGACGGGCGTGCCTGCCAAAACGAGCGGGTCGGGCGGGCGGACCGTAGCGGGCGTGCAAGGCGAGTAGGGCATAAAGGCGGGCGGGCGGACGTCCAAACGCGCGAAGGGCTGGACCCTCACGGGTACTAGTAGGTCGGGCGGGTGGGCCGGGCGGGCGGACCCTAACGGGGGGGTCGGGCAAGACATTGAAGCGGGCGGTTTTCGAAGCAGGCGAACGGGCGGACCCTCACAGGCGGGTCGGGCGGGCGGACCCTATCGGGCGGGTCGGGCGGGCCGGCGGGCCTGGACAGGCGGATCGGGCGGGCGGGCCATTGAAACAAATTTTGTGAATTGCGCACAGGCCTGAAGCGAGAGCAGGTCTTGTGTAGTCTGCGACGAGATCTCGCGCGAGAGCACGATTTCTGGACGTCGAGAGCGTAGAGCCGTCGGAAATTCCTGGTGCGTTCCAGGCGAGAGCGCGATTCCTGCGTAAATTGTTGGACTGCTCCGAACGCGAGCGCAAATCCGAATCAACTGCGAGGAAGTTTCAGGCGGAAACCGCTGTCAGGCGGGGGGTGCCAACAACGCAGATTGAGCACGAAGATCTTCCCGATAAGAGCCAGTTGCGCGCCAGACGGGGGCATCAATAATGCGTATTTTTCAAAGGTGTGGACTCAACATCGCAATCATCATGTTTGGCCCTCGCCAGCCCGTCCCTCCTCTTTCACCGGTTTCCTTATCAGTCTTTATTTTCTTCCTCCTCGTCCTCCCATTCCCCTATTTCTCATTGTCCCTTGTCGTTGTCATCCTTCCTTTCTCCTTGAGACCATTTCTTTATTGCTTGGGGCATGACGGTTGTCATGGACCCCGCCTCCCCCCCCCCCTATGACGTAACGCCTCCCCCCCAGTGCGCTCCGGGCACTGCCGCCGTGCGTATTGGGATCCGCGTAGGTGTCCGCGTAGGGATCCGCATAGGAGCCTGGTCCGCAGTTGTCGTCGTCGTCGTCGTCGCTCGTGGCTCGTCGTTCGTCGCTCATGGTCGTCGTCGTGCGCGCGGACGCGGCTGGAACCTGTTTTTTTATTCCTGGCCGATGACGGCAATCATCGGGGGGGATGGAGGGGGTCGATGACGTCACGGTTCGCGCCGGTGGCGCTTGGGAATGCTTAGGAATGACGGAGGACGGGTGGCACCAGCATGCAGGCGGCGATTTTCACCACAACGCCTGTGTACACCTCAGTGCCTGCGTACACAACACCGCGTGTGTACACCACACCGCCTATGTACACCACAGCAGCCGCGTGGAACACAGCGTCAGTTTGTGCCACCGCGCGTGCGGGTTGTAACAGCTCTTGTGTACACCGCAGCACCTGCGTACACCACATCAGCCGTGTGCAACACAGCAGTGTACACCACAATGCCTGCGTGCATTGCAGTGCCTGTGAACACCACGGAGCTTGTGCGCACCACAGCAACCGTGTGCAGCACAGCACGACTGTTGTATGTAGAGTGTTAGAAGGAATCATTATGACAAAATGGAGCGTTTATTCCACCGAAAACACTAGAGACAATAATCCTTATGGACGCAGGAGCGCCAGGGGAATCTACGAGTCCTTCCGAGTTCGCCCGCATCACCGTAACTCCTCCGATCTGCGTCCAGGAGGCTCCAGCTAAATTGGCCGTCCGAGAACCAAGTTCTCCGATTCAACAGACCATTCTGTGGTGCACGCTGAGTTGCGCACGTTCGCTGTAGCGCCAACCCGCACGACAGGCGGTAAGGAGGAGGAGGAGGAGGAGGAGGAGGAGGAGCAAGAGGAGGAGAAAATGAGGAGGACGAGGAGAAGGAGGAGGAGGAGGAGGTGGAAATAGAGGAGAAGTCTTGAAGGAAGAGGGAGAAACGTCGCATTCGATTATCTTCACTTTTCTGGCGTGGCGCCTCCGCAGCAGATCCTCACGTACAGGCTCCTTCTACCTGTCCTATGCACGCAGGCACTGTGGTGTACAATAGCGCTGCGTTGCACGTGGATGCTGTGGTGTAGACAGGCGCTGTGGCGTGCACAGGCGCCGCGGTGCACGCAAGCATAGTGGTGTACAAAGGCGCTGTGTTGCACATGGTTGCCTCTGGGTGTGCACATGTACACGGGCGCTGTAGTGTACGCAACCATTGCAGTGTACACATGCGCTGCGTTGCACACGGTTGTTGCGATGTACGCAGGCGATGTGGTGTACACGCGCGCTGTGGTGCACGCGAGTGTTGTGGTGTACGCAGGCGCAGGGGGGCAGATCGCCACCTACATGCTGCTCGTCGTCTTCGTCGTCGTCGTCGCTTGTCGCTCGTCGCGTCGTGCGCGCGGGCGCGGGTGTGGTGCCAGAGCCACACGGCGGGGGGGGGGGGGGCGTTACGTCATACCCCCGCCGCCCTCCCCCCCCCCCATGACTGACGCCCGTCATCGCCGAACATAAAGAAACGCTCTCCTTCTCCACCCACCCTGTTGTCCTCTCCTCGTGCATTTCTTCCTGATAGTCCTCCTCCCTTCTCCCATTCCCTCCACTTGCCCCTCAACGCCGACCTCCTCTTTACCCCCTTCCCTCTCCCTGCAGGTCTACGTGGACTTCGTGAAGGCCTGCCGCGATCGCGGCATCACGGTTCCGGTGGCGCCGCCGTGCGCCTCCACAGCATAAGGAAGCGAGTAGGAGGATGGGGAGGAGGATGAGGACGGGAATCAGGCAGTCGATGAGGAGGAAGAGGAGGAGCAGAGAGAGGAGGATGATGAGGAAGAGGACGAGGTGGAGGAGGAGGAGGAGGAGGAGGAGGTGAAGCTGTGGAAGGAGATGGAGGAGGAGGAGGAGGATGGGGGGGAGGCAGCAGAATGGGCAGAAGGATAAAGGAAGTATGAGGAGGAATGATGATGTGGATGATGATGTGGATGATGATGTGGATGATGATGTGGATGATGATGTGGATGATGATGTGGATGATGATGATGATGATGATGATGATGATGATGATGATGATGATGATGATGATGATGCTGATGCTGATGCTGATGCTGATGCTGATGCTGATGCTGATGATGATGATGATGATGATGCTGCTGCTGCGGCTGCTGCTGCTGCTTC